AAAAAAAAAAAATCCCACACTCTACTGGTTAGGCTTTATTTGCACTTCTCATAAGTGTGTCATCTTCTACTGGATTGCACAGCACCACTCTGGTCAAGCCACGTTATTGCAGGCGCTTACATGAGGTCATATGAGATCAAACGACTATTCAACAACAAAAATATTTATCAACAATTTTTTATGGTCGATGTTGTTGATAATGTCAACTAACCGTTTCAGCCCTAGTTGCAGATGAATGAAATGGAGTAACAGTTGTATTTATTTATTTATAATTTTTTTTTTTGATGAAGGTTTTGGCTACAGGTCTGAGTGGGCTTTACTCATCTTTGCCCACCAAGTTGGATGTACCCAGTGAGGAGTGGCACTGTCTGCACCGTGAGGACTGGCAGCAGCTGCCCGCTCTTGTGCAGTAAGAATTGAGGAACCTCAAGACGTTACGACAGTATGTCCACACAGCTTGTGCTACTTCATTTCTACTGCGCTCTGCAATCCTGCTCCTGGAGGGCCACTTTCTTAGAGTATAGCTTCTGCACACCTGCCAGGAAGTGATCCTAAAGACCTTAATTGGCTCAAGTGTGTTTAATAGGGACTATAGCTAAATTCTGCTGGACAGTGGGCCTCCAGATAGAGTATTGGATCAATTTACACATAAAAACTTCCTCTTCATATTTTGCAAACATTCTTCTGGAATGTCAGGAGACAAAGGTTGAGCTATAAATAAACGTTATTGCAGTACCCTTATCTTGGTATGCCCAGTAGATAAAAGGAAGCAAAAATACATTTAGACAGTGTCAATTTATCTTATTTGAGCTTTGCTTTGTGTGTAGGTGGCCCATCCTTCCATTAAAGATCAGCTGGTTGGCTACATTCATAATGGTTTTCTGGTACCAGTTCTAGCACCAGCATTACACAAGGTTAGTGGGCCGTAAGCCATTTTATTCCTAGATCTGATACTTGATATCAGTAAGATTTGATTTTAAGCACCCTAATCTTCTGTAGCTGACACTTGAAGAGGTGATGACCACAACAGCATACCTGGACCTCTTCATACGCAGCGTATCTGAACCTGCATTGCTGCACACCTTACTAAGCTTCATCCTGCTCCATCGCCATGACAACGTACACATTTTGGACACGCTGGTCAGCCGCATCAATACTCCTTTTCAGGTAACCACAATTTCATCCTGACTGACAAAAAAAAAATGCATCCAATTGAATATCAAAAAGCAGTACTTACTTGAGAACAGGCCACTGAACTAGTGCTGGGTGATACATTGAGTATTAGATTTGGTTAGTGCGACCTCATAGATTCATTGTGCAGTGTAGTCAGCATCATTGATTATAATGGGAGTATTTGTAAGAGTGCAGAACTCGATCAGTGAGCTTGGGTGAAGGTGAAAGGGTAAAGACAGGCTCCAAAAGTATTAAGAAGTGGTTGATAGATTAGATAAAGGAATGAAGGTAGATTACAGGCTCTTTCTATTAAATTAGACTAATATTTGAACTCAAATATTAGTTTGCATGTGTATTCAAACAGAACACCCTACAGCACTGAGCCTTAAGAATCCTGTTAGGCATGACAGTTAACTTTGTTTTATGCAATATTAATATGAAACGGTTTAAATCGGTTAATTCCAGTTTTGTTGTTTAACACATGCAGTGTCTTCATTAAGCTGTTGGTTTTTGTAGTAGTGTGTTTTTATAGGCTGTGCTTTTGTTCCAGCTTGGCACAGTATCGCTGGCCCTGTTCCGCACTCTCATTGGCTTGCATTGTGAAGATGTCATGCTCCAGTTGGTTTTCAAGTGAGTATATTTCTGCAGACTCTTCACATTTATTTACTTGTTTGTTGTATGATGTGCATCATGTGTATTTTATATATTGTCTCATAGTCTCAGTGTTGGTATTCAGCTGTCTTTCTTGCGGCACTGTACGTGTGGGCCCTCCTTCCCCGACAGGTACCTGATCCCATGTAACCACATGATGTTGAGTCAGCGTAGAGTCCTGAGAGAGAGAGACTATTACTCTGTATCAGCCGCCAAGTTTCTAGCCCTTACACCCTCCTGCTGTTCTCCAGAGGTCATCCCCCCTCCACTCAGACAACTGGACTCCATTCTGTGGTCAAAAGGCACTGATGGCTCCCATATAGGAACTATGGGTATAATGTAGTTCCATTGCTTCCTGTGGAAGAGTTTGCTATTTCATGTAATTTGAAGTTGCATTGTGCATAATGTGTCATTGTAATAACAAAACATACATTTTGACCTATATCGAAAACTAATATCTCATAAGGACCTAGATCAGGGGTGTCCAGTTTTGTTCCTGGAGGGCCACTGTCCTGCAGAGCTTAGCAGTAACCACAATTAAACACAGTTAAACCAGCTAATCAAGGATGACTAGAAACGTCCAGGCAAGGGTTTTGGGCCAAGTTGGCACTAAACTCTCCATTGGCCCTCCAGGAGCAGAATTGCAAACACTTGACCAGGATTAATGCAGATTTTAATAGTAAGTGTTAAAGGTTTTTTTTGAAAGGATTTCTAGATTTTAATGTTTTTGGTTGTTGTTGGTCTCTGCAAAACCATGCCCTGAAGATTTGTTGACTAACATAAAATTTAATGAAAATTTGTTCAGATTAGTACACTCAAGTCTGCAGACTGAAATGTTATTCATGTCTCAATGACTTCCGTCTTCTGAATTAAATCTGCAACTTCAATAGTGCTGGCATCAACTTAATTTATTCATTCCAGACTATGTAATCCGCTTATGTCTGTGCTTATTATTAAAGTGTTTACAAGCTGATACAAATTCCAAGTAATACTTTTGTTAGGATCAGTATTTGTGAAAAAGAGGTCATGAAATGTAACAACTGTTTTAATATTGCTTGTACATTTTCCTCTAGAATCAAAAGAGGTCCTCTCAGAGGAGGACGACTGTGGTAACTCCTGTGTCATTGGCTCAGAGATCTGCCTGGATGTTAGTTACCTGCACTACTTGTACGATGCACAAAACAGCATCAGTCACTGTATGCGAGCATGCTGTGTGTGGTCGGCCCCTTACGATGGTGAGAACCCTCCTCCAGAAGAATACCAGCGCAGTACCTTGGAAGAAGCAGGTAGGACTCGGCCACCAATTACCAGCAAGAAAACCCCAAATCAGATGCATCACTCCGGTCCACCCCTCAAAGATCTCACTGCTACTCCTGGATTGCTGGAGCTGGAGTGGGATGATAGTTATGATGCATGTCCTACACAACTGCATTCAGAGGAAGATCAGGAGACGCGTCCCATCCCGGACGAGCCCCCGAAACACATTCAAGAACTGCGGAAAACTGCTATTATGATTGTGAAGGGCTCTTACATTGAAGAGACTGAGTTCCAGAATGATGTTATGGTTTATGACCTGGTAGCTCAGAAGGATGCTCATAACTCTGGTAACGGCTATCATGCCCCATCCAAACCTACTAAACCAGCAAAGCAGGAGGTGTTAGATGGACCAGTAACTGATCAAAAGACTACAAATTCAGAATCCTTGATGAGCAATGGCTTGAGCTCCCCATTAGATGAAATGAACAGTAAAAAGAGAGGGTCCCAATCAGACCACAAGTCACTGGAAGGGGAGGATCTCATGGCCCAGTATGAGGAACTCATAAGGACTCTGGGTGCACAGCATAGTAGTCCAGCAAAAGCAGACAGTGAACTCAAGAGTCCTACAGACCTCATGGATGATGAGGAAGATGAGATCGACTTTAATTCTTTCTCACCAGAAACACCAGAGACGGAAAAGTTGCCATCTCCTTTTGGGACCAAACCCCGCAGTGGGAGCAGGGGACATGCTGTGCCTTTTACAGGTCAGAAAACATATGCTGTTATTTTGCTAAATTATTTGAATTCTTTCACATTGTTCTTCATACACTCATTTATATAGTGCACTATTTCAAGGGACATTATCGAGTGGACTCATTCAGTACCATAATGAGTGTACATTAGTATATACTGCCTGCTCTAAATTTTACCACACATTTTGTAATTCGTCATATGACATTATTTGATTTCAGCAGTAATGACCTGTTTAACTCAAAAAGTAGCATCTAGACACCATAAACATAATTTTACATGTACATACATGAAATTGTGCACTGAATTGAGTTATGTAGCACCATTGCTGCCAGGTCTGCGTAACAACACCAGCCTAAAGCCCCGTTCACACCAAGAACGACAACGACAAAGATAACGATATTAGTGTCCACACCAGCGAACGATGTCGTCTTAAGCGCACGCACGTCTGCTGCTTTAATTTCTTGAGCTCGTTCCAGCAGTATGGATTCTGATTGGCTGTCAATTTTTTATCGTTCATCAGCTGGA